ACCCCCCCCCCCCACATAATTATTTTTCACATAAAGGGTTACTCAAAAAGAATGAGACTTCAGAGACGATTGTACGGAATATCTGTTTCCTCTGCAACTGAACACTTGGCGAAATAATCAAAAAGGCCTTATAATGACAATCTTTAAGGCATATGACTTATTCTAAACTTGGAATCGTCATATTTGAAGAGATTCAGGTCGTCTTTTCTTTACAGTATCATCTTTTGTGGGTAACCCTGTCTTATGATCTATGTACATTAGTTAATTTAACATTGATATTGTATCTAGAAACATACTGACAATAGGACATGTTATGTAATAGCGATAAATTGTGTAATGGTCAGTTGGCAGAATTTTAGCCACTTATCTGCCAAACCAACAGTGGAAACTTCGTAACGAAGTGTAATGTTTGTATGTTGTGAACACTGAACAGTTTATTATTCAAGCACTTGGACTTTCCCCTTCACATATTCATCTTGCACTGCACTCTCATTCCCAGGGGGATTTATTGTATCTTATTCCCGGACCCAGGGGGGATTCATTCCCGCATTTTCACATTGAGGTAAAAATAAATTATTAATTACAGATTTCAATGTTTTCTCATGAAGTACGGAAGATTTATAATTATTTACAATTTCGTTTAAAATCTTGTTTTAAGAATGGCTTTCTACGATTTATGTTTCAAAATGTAGCTTTCCCTACTGTGCGTCAATTTGACCGCTACCCCCCCCCCCCACATACAGGTGTACAAATAAAAACATGAACATTTCAAACATGGATTCATTCCCTGCATGAATTTTTGCATTTTCATTATTTTTAGAAATATCAATTTTATACTATTTTTTGCATTATTTATAATTTTGGACCGTGTGTTTGAAAAAAAAATTTTTTGAAAACATTTATCTTACACTATGTCGAAATTTAGATAAAAAAACAAACAAAAAACAGTTTCAACTTAGATTTTCTTATCAATACCTAAATTAATTTTTACACCGTTTATATTTTAAACGATGAAAAGGTGACCAGTAACCAGTTCCTTAATATACCAAAAAACCGACTGAATAATCAAACCAACTAATCTGGGTCAAATCTTTTTGGATTAAAAAGATTAAAAAATCCACCAATGAAAGTATAGAAAAATCTGCGAAATTTTAGTTTTTTTTTCAATACTAGGGTATTAAGGCGCTTCACGCCCTCTTTCCATTTCCATGAACATTTTCTCTTTGTATACATTGCAGAACTAAAACAAACAGCAGTTTCACGGATTTGATAAACAAATTTCGTGGATTTTCTAAATTTTCAAAAATTGAATTTTAATGAAGGCAAATTTTTCAAAATTTTATCATCCATAAACCTTCCGTAGGGTCATGTTCACGCGAGGTCTCACAAAAAAATTTGGGCTCGATCGGTTCAGCCGTTTTGGTCTATTTCATCAAAATGTTGGGGATTCTTATGAATATATATTTCTCAATTGGTCAAGATTGGATTTAGACCGATCTTAATGAAATGTTAGGATTGGATTAAGCAATTATCTTTTATCACACTTTTGTTTGTCTTCACTTTCAATTTTGACGGGAAAAAAGTTTGGCGGATTTTTTTTGGTACCATGTATGAAGAAATGAAGCCAAAATGCCAAAATATTCCAAAAATAAAAATTTCATAAAAAAATTAGCTATGAAGAAGACGACGCTAATTACACTTTTTTTTAGACTCACCCTGTATATAGATATACAAAGAAACACTAGTTGCATTTAAAATATAAGAACTAAAAAATAACGTAAAAAAGACTATTTTCAAATTAGAAAAACTAAAAAAATTTGGAAAAAATCTTTCTATCATCCTCCCCATTAAAAACTATATTTATTTTTATTTTCTCTCCAAATACCTTGACCCTAAGCTCATTTTCTAATTATTTTTTTGATTCTCTGTACTTTGTATTATAAGGATGATATATATCCCGTTTTATAAACAATAAACATTTCAATCAATTCACCAAACACTATCAACTCATTTTGATGCGAAACTTCAGTTAACGTAAACTTCAGGGGCGAAATCGCATTCAGATACAATTGTGATTGTCTATATAACGATACAGCTGGTTACCCACAAAAAACGTGAATTCCATGTTAAAACATGTTATGTTTCAAGACTTTTAAGATGACATTTTTAACAGTGATATACCAATTGCATTTTTTTTAACTCTTACCCGCACAAAAAATAAACATTTCTCTTAAACTCAAATTTCGGCTAATCCATTTCTACTTTGCTACAGTTGCCGTTGTGTATATCAATACAATGAAGACGGTTTTTTTTGTTTGCGTGCAAATAAAAAAAAACTTTTTAATCAAAATTTGAATAAAATGTTAATATAAACGCCAACTTCTGTATTTTGTTTTATCTTGCAAAACTTTGGGATTCTAAAGAGTCAGTACTAGCCTATATTGAATAAAAACAAGATTTAAAAAATATAATATGCTCAAACATTCGCCAAATATTATTTGTTTTATTTTGTTTTCTTACAGCCCATAAATGTGCTTAAAAAAACTATATGTAAATTGAAATTAGGTTTTGTGGATTTATTAACAAATGAGCTCAGAAAGCTAATTCGGGAAAAAAGCTCTCAAGGCCAGGGCTTAAATACAAAGTTTACTCCATATTTTTCTGAATATCATCAGGCAACATGATGATGAACGTGCTACAAAAACAATTTAATTTTTGACAAACATTAATGAGTTAAAAACTGATGTTTGCTCAGAAATATAATAATTATTGCTAAATAATTAGTGTAATTTTTTACATCTTCCATTTTTAATCATTTACAAACTAGTTTGAAATGTAAAGAAAGCCAAAAGTTAACAGATAGAGATGGTTAAATCTGTATATGTACTCTGGAATTAACCATTGAACCCTAGATAAATTATATTATAAATTGTATATCTATAATTATATAAAAAACTTCTATATTTAAATTAAAAATCTAAAGGACTTTTTCAAAATGATAAAATATTGTACTAACTATGTACTAGAAACTTGCAATCAATGTCTTATCCTTTTTAAAAAGGTAGAAAATTTGAAAGAAGCATTCAAAATCATTAATTTAAGTGATTTGTCTTCAAAATAAAATATATTTTTCTGCTAATATTTTATCTGGGTCAGGCTCTGAAATGCAATATTTAATGCAAAATTAAGTTAGTTTACTTGCTATGATGGTAACTTGGGTTTTTTAATAATTTTAGCTTTATAATAACCATAAATCAATTAGACCATATAACTGCATCTGTATACAGCTATCTTACACAAAAATAAAAAGCTTTTTTGAAATGCAAAGATTCCATGGGGGAAAAGATGTTTTGTCCATTTTATTGATTTTTCTGTGTAGCTAGGCATGATATTTAGTTTAATTCAGTTTTATCCAATTTATAAGCATCTTAACCTAAATTAAATGGACAATTATTTTATTTCCGCACATTGTATTTGTACCTTTGTTAAAAAAAACCTTTCATAGGCAAACTTAAAAACATCTTTATATGAGTCTGTTACTTGAAATTTAAATATAAGATCTACAGTTGACTAATCAATTAAGGTTTAATAGAAAATATATCTTTTATCTCTTTAAAAAGCAAGTATTTTGAACTTAAAAAAACAAAAATTATCCAATTTGTGTATTCTTTACATTTTTTCGGGGGGGGTTNGAAGAAGCTTTATTGTAACACTACAGCAGTGTACATAAATACATTAGGGTTGTACGGTACAGTTTTGTGTACATAAATACATAATAAGGGTAGTACGGTACAGTTTTGTGTACATACATACATACTAAGGGTTGTACGGTACAGTTTTTTTTACAAGTTTACAATTACATATTTTAACATTAATTGCGCTGCCATGGTCGATTTTATCTTAAATTGATGATCAACGTGAGACTTGTGAAAATAAAACAATTGTGGTTATTTTCTCACTCGTCTGAGTTGTTGAGATCCAATAATTTTGTATTCTATTTCACGAAAAAGAAAATGTATCCATCAAAGAAAACTGACATTCATGAATCATTTGAGGCAAAGGAGTGAAGTTCAATATTTCACTAAAAATGCAATTATAGGCTACACCTAGTGATGGAAAATGACTTGGTTCCTTTCCCTATAGAGTTTTAAGGTTTTTGGACTCGTATGAAACTGGCACCACAAAATACTACTGAAACATAAAAATAAAGCTCTAACAATTCAAACCTTTATTTTATAGTTTAAACTAAGTTAACTATACAAAACTGCTATCCTATAGAAGAAAAAACTTGTTTATATCTTCTCTCAGGGTTAGAATTTGGCATAGTGCAAGAAAATTTAAACAATTTAAAAATTTGTGAAACTTCTTTTTGTTGAATCTCTTTTAAAATCTATAAACCTTATGGTTTTAAAAAAGGAATTTGTGCGATCAAAATTAAAAATACATTTTCGCATAATTAATAAATTTTGATTTTAAACATGGGCAAGCACTTTACTTATTTCAAAATGCAGTGTATTGATTTAAACTAACGGACTGCGTACAAAAGCTTTTTTCAAAAAGTTTACAAAATGGTGACAGTTCAAGATTGAAGACATGACTAGGGGTCTGGTAATTGTGAGGATTCTGACTAAATAACAGTATGATTTACATGAACTAATTAAAGTTGGCTGAAATCCGGGAGAACTTGCATTAAAATCCGCGAATTTTTCGCTTACCAAAATTTAAATGAATCACGTACTGTAGTATTGCGGTGGAGTTTAGCTTAAAGCAACACATCAATGTAAACATAGATTAAAGCATTGCAATAGTGAGATGAGATGTAGTTTTTGTACTAATTTACTAGTTCTTTAAGTGTTGTACATAATGTAAATACAAGTGTGTACACTGTACACTGTACAGTGTACAGTGTCCAATCTCTTCTAAAGGATACTGTGTACAAATCCTCCATATTTACTTTATGAGATTGATACCAAAACACACAAAAATTCAGATTCATTATTTCACTATTGGGGTAATGAAGCTCTATTAAAACAAAAAAATCGTAAGAAAATTTGCCAAACGCAAATGCTATGCAAAATTAATGCAAAATCTTGTAATTTACATTTTGTTAGAAAATAAGAAATGAAGAATTTTTGGGTCAAGAAATGGATTTATTGTACACTAGTATTAATTACATAAATTGGAGTGTTTTTAATATTATAAATAATTGTATTAATTCTTTGAAAAGGGTTTTTTTTTGGTCAGAAATGAAAAGGTAACTAATATCATATTTTTCTGGACAAAAAATAGAACTTTAAATAATACTATGCAAGAATTGAGATTAAAATTACAATAATGATAATAACTAAAAAATACAAAAATAAAAAATGCAAGTTTGAAAAAGGGCTCTGCGTGTACACTGTACATAAAGCTAGCGTTTCGGGGATTTTGTTACATCTTGTAGGTCGTCAGTATTCACTATTTATCATGTCATTTAATCTGCACACCCCTCGGTTTCAGGCCTGAAATAAAATCAGTTTTAAAATAAAATTTGTCACACAATATATTAAATTATCTAACAGTTATAAATTTTCTTAAGTTAACATACAGATTAACCCTACGATGGAATAAAATGTGTTTTTAGTTTTTGCTTGTAGAATTTAACGTTAATGCTCTTTGTATATAAGATTTAAAATTGTGGGTGACCCTGTATCATAAAAACGTCAAACATTAAAGAATTATAAAATTATCAGGGTGTATGTTTTCATGGAAAATCATTCGTCCCATCTTCTAATATACATAGAACAGAGTTTTTAAAGGCACAGCTGACAACTGCTGGCCACTGGGATCCACAAAATTGTGAGTTAGCCTGGATGGAGCCAGAATGTTGTTGATGCGCTACACCCTGATCTGGGGGCTCCAAGTCGGATCTTTGCATTTATTTCTTATTTCTTGCTTGCAGGAATATATATTCGTAGTTCAGCTTACCGTTCAACTTCTCCCTCCATCTCCTGCAGTAGTTGGATCAGTAGCTCGTTCACGGGTTCAAATGCCTAATGAGGTTTTATATATATCACAAGATGACAATGTGACAATTTGTATATATGACAATATGACATTAGGAAAATACGACAATACCAATTACACAAATACTGACAATAACGTTGTCATTATTATAATCATTATTATCATCATCCTTTTTATCATTATCATTGATATTTTAATAATTACCATTGGCATTAGCATTATCGTTATCGTTATCGATATCGTTATCGATATCGTTATCGTATCGTTATCGATATCGTTATCGATATCGTTATCGATATCGTTATCATTATCATAACAATAATCATAATCATTACTATCATTATTATGATTATTATTATTATTATTGTTAGTATTATTATTATTATTTTACTACATTATTATTATTGTTAGTATTATTATTATTACCATAGAATATCCTTTCTGCGTAAGGTGGAGGTAATCGTACATGTCGTGGTGTGATATGGATTTGTCAGCCTAAAAAAAATATTTTTGAAAATATGATCTTCACATTATTCAAAAAAAATTTACGACAACTCTCTAATTTTATAAATGGCTAATGGTTGTGTGTATATAAATGTTTTATTGTGATTTGTAAGCTTAAAAACAAAGTTAAAGGGAAAATTAAGGTTTTAAAATATTACTAGAAAACATTTTAATTTTACCGCATTTATAACTTTCTTTTTTTCTTAATATTAATCGTTAATTTCATTGCGGCACTGATAAGGAGTCGTTTTACTTTCCCAACTTATTCTGAGGACCACTGTACTAACCTGTATAAAGCCTGTATCTATATTTACAAACTGTAGTTTACTGTTTCCCTTCACATACTCTTCCATTATACCATTCACAGCCTGAAGTAGAAGAGTACAGTACAGTACAGTACAGTACAGTACAGTACATTACAGTACAGTGCAGTTGGTATAATACACTACAGCACAGGGGGTAGGGGGCTATCGGAACTAATCCCCTCCACTTGAAATGTCCCTTAAAAGACAAATCTTGTAAATTTACGCCCCTTGACAACAGATTTTATGTTTTTAGGGACGATATAAATAAAAGCATGAAAGACTTGAATGAATTTACCTTATTCCTATCCCTTAAGGAGTTGGGTTGGTGTCCTCGGGGTAACAAACTCTTAACAATGAATTTTTATTAGGTTTGATTAATTTAAATTTTTTTATTATTAAATTTTCATTATTATTGTGCGGTTGTTTAGCTCTTGTTAATTAAAAAAAACTAGATCATATATAGACCAGGGCAAGTGGAGGAGCTCAACCGTATTAAAGGGTGTCAGTAGGTTGAATTTAATTATAATAATATCTGTCCTGAACAGATTAATAAAACCTCAAACCCAAAATTTTCAAATTCCATTATTTTTGCAACCTGATGTTGTAAGAAGTCTGTGATAATTGAATCTTTTGCTATTTGATCAAGCAGAATTCATGGTTAAAAATATCAAAGTTTTATAAAATCAGATTGACAAGATATGGGGTTTAGAAAATTAGCGTATGAGTTGAGTAAAAAATTAACATAAAATGTTAAATAATCTTATTTACCAGAAGAAGAACGAAGGATTGTGGTTGACGGTCTCGAATAACAGTACAAATCACCTAAAGAAGATTTTGTGTTCAATAATAATATATATATTATATGGAGCACGATCATTTGCTATCAACTCACTTGCTATCAAGTCACTTGCTATCAGCCTCACTTGCTATCCCCTCACTTGCTATCCCCTCAGTTTCTATCAAACTCATTTGCTATCAACTCAGTTGCTAACACATTCATTTGCTATCAAGCCTCATTTGCTATCCGGCCTCAACTTGCTATCAAGCCTTACTTGCTAGCAGGCCAATTTGCTATCAATCCTCCGTTGCAATCAACATTTTTGCTATCAATCATCATTTGCTATCAAATTTTCGACTTGCTCTCAATCATTACTTTAACCAGTTTTTTTTTCTAAAAATCCGCAAAAAAATGGAAAAATTTCTTAAAATTTGGAATTCTTCAGTCTCTCACAAACTTTGCGTGGGCATGGAGTCTTGGGTATTTATATCAACAACATTGTTCGTTTTTACAAAGATGATGGAGTGAAAATTTAAATTGAATATAATATATTGTATTATTAATGTACTCCCTTTTTCTTTTTATAAATTAATATTATTTGAACAACCATATATAAACTGGTTTCGTAATATATACTAAGAACTGGTTTTAATAGCAACTTATTTAGAAACACAAATACTATTATATATAGCAACGCATTTGGATAGTAACTAGTTTTGGATAGCAGATGAGCATTGATAGCAGTTGAGACTGGAGAACAAACGTTTTAATAGCAAGTGAGGCCTGATAGCAAATTGACCTGAGAGCAAGTGTGGCGAGAGCAAGTGAGGCCTGAGTGCAAGTGAGGCTGAGAGCAAGTGAAACAGAAAGCAAGTGAAACAGATAGCAAGTGAATTGATAGCAAGTGAATTGATAACAAGTGAGTTGATAGCAAGTGAGGCGGATAGCAAGTGAGTTGATAGCAAATGATCGTGCTCCGAATACATATATACATGAAGGAAAACAGCAGTGCTTAGGATCCATTTAATTTTGATGCGGATCCGGATCCTGGATCCGCACTGTATATTTTCTTTAAGATTTACTGAATTTTTTAAACAAAAAATAATTTTCAAATTTGTTGTTTTATTTTTTTCGCATATTTTTATCCCAAAACTTTATGAACCATGAAATTTTTATGATCTCTCTTCTTTTAAAAGTTCAGATTTTGGTCTTAGGAGTAAAAAAGTTTTTTTTTCAGTTTTTGGTTGACATTTTACCCCTTGGATCCGGATCCGTGGATCCGCATATTTTAGCGGATCCGGATCCTGGGCACTGCTTGGCAGTTGTTTATTTCTGATGAAACCTGTTCAATTCTCATGTAATTCATGATTACACCAGGAACCTCCCATTGCTTTATTTAAATTCCTTCTACAAACTGCAGTACACACGTTATTTATAAACAAACACAGCTATGAGAGTTCCTAGTGACATGCCTTGATACAAGGTAATAAGGCAAGGAGAGTTAATTGTGGTTGCGTATTCTCTGAGTTCATTTTGAAATAATTTTCTCTGGGCGGTATTTGTAAACAAGAATAGATGCATCAGTGTTTGTTTAGTTTTGATTATTTTGATAATTCACATAATAGTTTCCTATGACCAAAATATTTCATTGAATTTTTATGTGAAAGATGGATACCATGTCAAGCTGTGACATCTGTCTTTTGTTTACTTTATAGCGCAGGTACAGTACACTGCACTACAAAAAATTCGTACACCTCTGAAATAACTATCTTTACATTTTAATTCTTTGCCTTGATGTAAGCGACCCTATCGATCTGCGTTCCTTAATACTGAGTGTCTCAATAAACATTAGAATTAAGCGACAACTTTTAAATCATCTATAAAATTTACTATGAATTCGGCGTATATTCGTAAATAACAATACCAACTAGGATTTCCTTCTAAATTGACAGAGACTGAGAATTTTGTCCAAATTTCAATTATTCAATGGAGGTAGAATTCTGACTTCATTTCAAATATATTCGTCATAGACTAATTCACACGAAGGCAGACCACATTTTGGAAAATTTCATTTATTAAATATCAAATATCGAATAAGAATTTAAAGTCGTCACTGAATTCATATGTTTATAGGGACTTTTTTCACCTAATTGCTTTATACTTGTACTTTTAATATAATCATCAATTTGTAAGCGTAAACTCATTCTGTACAAAGATACATGTATTTTAGCAATAAACTTTATCTATCTATCTATCTAGTGTACCTTGAGCCCCTCTGCAATCTGTTCAGGAGTATCTCCGTGATTATTAGTTCCTACCAGTACAACAACAATCTAAATGTTTGGAACCATCTAATGTGCCCAACGTTGCCCGTGGAATAAAAAAAATTTTGCAGAAAAAAAATTTCAATTAAAAAAATATATATCAAAATTTAGGAAAAAATGGGTTCCTATCAACAAATGTCAGCCAATTTTGTCTCACTGTTTGTCCAGCTCTAGCAAACACATAAATAAATAAATATATATATATAATTTTTATATATATATATATATATCAGTTTTTAACTTCACATTTTTATTAAAAAAAGAATTATACTAAACATAATGTTTCACTATATATATATATGTATATAAATATGAGCGAAGAAGTTTGTTATATAGTTAAAAATATCAAAACTTTAAAATTATTTCTCAAATTAACTATAGACGAAATTTCAAATGACCCTCAATTGCTTAAGTGTGTGCATTTTTAAACTCAAGCGTTGCACATCGTTTTATGTACACTCCATGCGACTACCAACAATTAATTTCCAATGACAATGAATTTTCAGAAAGAAAACACTGGATATCTTAGTCGTTGACTATCAGATTATATTCAGTACAGTATACAGTGCAAAGTGTTCACGTTAGAGCCCTCTTAAGAACAAATTTCTTTTTCTTGTAAAAAATAGATTTTTACCACGAAAATTGATAAAAATAAAATGAAAAAGACATCGTAAACTATTTACCAACTGTCATGTTTCGTGGGACACCCTGTGTACAAAAACCTACTCTGAATACATGTACGTGGTATTTGTACATCAGACAAATATTTCTTATGAAGTACCGAATGCAAAGCATGCATTTATATTGTAATATAATCATATGGTTGGGCGGGCCGGGTCGACCCCTTCTCCCTTATATTCCATACTCCTTGGAATTTACTGCTTCCCACGGGAACCAGCTAAGGTGTGAAGGGGGGGGGGAGATGTTGGATTTGGATGATAAACAGGTGTTTGATTGTTAACTTACTAGTCAACCATGACATTAATTCAAATTCAAATAAAGCAGTTTATCAGACATTCATGAAAACATTTCAATTTATTTTTTTATACATTAAATAAACAGAAAAAAGTGGAATCTCTGTCATTTTCTTTTTTGTGATTTGCAACTGAATTATTTCTGAAATAAGTTTTGTTATGATATATTATATACTTGCTTGGAAACACAGTGTTGCCCAGGGTAGATATAGTTAATAGCACCGTTTACCCGGGCTTTGTCGTTAATTACGATTTTGGCTAGTCTGCCCGTTTAAAGCTGAATTACTCAACTTAGAATCTAAGAACATTCCCGTGGTTCTCCCGAATTCCACAGTCAAAATTTGAGACAAATCGGTCTGGGGATTCCTGAGTTATGATCGGACAAACAAACAAACAGAAAAACTTTATATATAGAGGTATAATATTTTACCTTCGGCGATATATTCTCTAGTTCTCCGTTCTCTAATCTCCATAGAACATGTTCTGTTCTATCTCCTCCAATACCTAGAGAACAGTTTATAATCTTTATAGAACATGTTCTGTTCTATCTCCTCCAATACCTAGAGAACAGTTTATAATCTTTATAGAACATATTCTGTTCTATCTCCTCCAATACCTAAAGAACAGTTTATAATCTTTATAGAACATGTGCTGTTCTATCCCCTCCAATACGTAGAGAACAGTATATACATATATTCTAATTTGTTAACTGAATTATTTCTAAAACATGCTCAGACATAAAATAAATCTTAAGAAAGAATTACAAATTACAAAATCTTCAGCGAAATTTTATGATTAGAACAAGAAAGAAGACGACAATCATCCCGAAGTCCGATTTTACTGAATTTGAGCCGCGTCTCAAATCCGCAAAAAACCGGTTTCATTTGGGCGCCGGCTTAAATCTTAAAAGTTGAATACAATTTTTAGTGGAACCAACCAAATTTGAGCGGCGTCTTAAATTTAGGCCGCGGCTCAAGTTTTTTAAATTCGGCCTCATAGATTTTTTCTGGTCAACTAATAATTGTTCAAACCATAAATGATAAACTTTGCACGATAAAAATCAAAAAACATCAAAAGTTCAGCTGAATAATGAATATGTCAAACAAAGAAATTGAGTCTTTGCCACAAGTTCAAATTTTTTTAATTCTTATTATTATCAAATATCTCTGCAGCCCGATGTTGTAGAACTTTGATTTCAAACTATGATTTATTTCGGTTAGATTTAAAATTTCTAAGGTTTACATCATTAAGTTGCAAAGATATAAAGATTAGGAAATTATAGGTTGTGATTTCTTTAACAATTAAAATTCAAACAATTTTTATTTAATCATTAGATTTTATTTACCAAAGTTGAGGGAATGCATAGCACAGAAGCTTTTTTCCCAAATTTTGCTCAAACACAGATTCTGAAATAAATTTTTTTGAAATAGAAATTCAGATTTATTATAAACTAGCTGAAGTGCCCGGCGTTGCCCGTGGAATTTAAAACAACAAAAAAAAAGAATTCATCAGAAAGCTTTTTAGCAGCTTGATCATAAACAAGTAAATGAATAAAGCATGCAGGGTTTCAGTTCGGAGTATGCGCAATAATAGCGCAAAACCATGTACTGCAGCTGTACAGATTCAAAATTTATCTTGTAACATGTCAGAACATCAAATCGAACTGGCGTGCCAAAAAATTATTTTCCTGCGTCTCTGTTATTTTGGATATCAGACAAATAATACGAACTTTGTGCTTAATATTACCGCACATACTGCGCATTCGGCTTGTTTTTATAATAACAGCACCAGCTATATTTTTTTTATTGTTACAGAAAAAAGACTTGCGTCCATGGACGTGTGTATTAAGGAACTGATTATTTCTTTGTCACAAACTCTTATTTTTCAATCATTATATCTTTGCAATCAAATGTCGTAAATCTTTGTTTTTTCAAACTATGGATTCTGTAATATAAAATCTAAGTTTGAAATATCAAAGATTTGCGTCTTCAGATTGCAGAGATATACAAACGTATTTAAGTTTTTGTTAAGGGAATTAAAGGTTGATTTTTAACAACATTAGTGTGTTGGTCAAACTTTGTTTAAACCATAATCAAGCAAATGCATTTATCTAGTTCTAATACTGGAGACAAAAACTGTTTTCAAGGCTAAACATCTTGGAAAATAAAGTTTACCCAAATATAAGTTATGTTTTTAGCCTAAACATCTTGGAAAATAAAGTTCACCCAAATATAAGTTATGTTTGCGCGGAGAGACAATTTTTTTTAGACTTGTATCTCCTGATTTTGCTAATGAATAATTTTTCAAGAAAAATAAATTTTTTTGGTAAACATTTGCAAAAAAATAATAAACTTTTTAACTCCAATTTTTCCCTTAGTTTTCGAGAAACTTCTCAAAGGTCTTATAGATGTTTCAAATTGTACAAAAAAATTTTATCATTAAATGTTTTTCCTTGACCAAATATTGATTAATTCACATTAAGAACTAAATCTAAAATGTACATCCAAGAAAATATATGCAAGAGCAAAATAGGCTTGGATTGTATGCTATTCAGCTCTATGCGCATAAAAAATATGCAAAAATAGGCTTGGATTGTATGCTATTCAGCTCTATGCGCATAAAAAATATGCAAAAATAGGCTTGGATTGTATGCTATTCAGCTCTATGCGCATAAAAAATATGCAAAAATAGGCTTGGATTGTATGCTATTCAGCTCTATGCGCATAAAAAATATGCAAAAATAGGCTTGGATTGTATGCTATTCAGCTCTATGCGCATAAAAAATATGCAAAAATATCAGAATATCAAATGCCAAATGATGAAAAATCTTTAAATGATCAAAAAAATGTACGCTAAACAGAAAAGACAACTATTTTTTCCTCAAAAATACCATACAATTTTACAATAAAGTTAATTTTAATGTTTAAGGTATTCTTAAACATATTTTTTATGATAAAACGTCTGTAAAATGCAAGCTCTCTCTTTCACGCAATTTTTTTTCTTCTTTCTCTTCTCTTCTCTTTTCTACTCTTCTCTTCTAATTTCTTCTCTTATCCTTTCTTCTCTTTTTTCTCTTCTCTTTCCTTTTTTCTTCTATTTTTTCTTCCCTTTTTCTTCTCTTTTTTCTTATTTTTTCTTTTCTTCTCTTCTCTACTCTTCTGTTCTCTCTTTTCTTCTCTTATCTTATCTCTTATCGTCTCCTCTTTGTTTTCTCTTTCTTGTTGACATTTAACCGGTTTTGAGATGAACAATGCAGTACGATCCGTTGTTATGATTTTTCTCTGATTTGTATACATTTCTAGCTTGTAGACCTAATTGAAACGTACTGCGTTAGTACTGTATAATTCGGCATTTGATCATTTTGCATTTGATATTCTGATATTTTTGCAAAAATATATGCAAAAAGCCCATTTAAGTTTCTCCAATGATCAGCTTTAGAGAAAGAGCTTTCAAAGATCTATAAATTATCTTACAATCATGATAAAAAGATTGGTAATTCGTTTAGTGAATGTTCCTGTCCGGTTATTACTATTTTCTACAAAATCGACCCATTATTGTTAAGATTATGGCCTTTTTTATATATGCTGATCAAAATGGCAAATTTGTTTATCATGGCTTTAAGATAATGTACAAACGTTTTAAAAGTTCTACAATAAAGCTGACCGTGGGAGAAGCTGAAATGTGATTTTTGAACATATTTCTATTTGCGAGGCTTCTTAGACACATTTCTAAGTCATAAATAATAGAGATATTGACCTAATATATTATTAAGCAATAACTTAAAATCTAGCCAAATCTATTTTTGATCATAAAAAAAAGTATACGGCAAATGTCAAATGTCATATGTCGAACGTCATATGTCAAAAGTCATATGTCTAATGTCATATGTCAAAATGTCATATGTCAAATGTCATATGTCAAATGTCATATGTCAAATGTCATATGTCAAATGTCATATGTCAAATGTCATATGTCAAATCGCATAAAGCTTAATAACCTACAAACCAAGCCAAGTTTTGCTTATGTATTTCTTTTTCTTGGATGTACACTTTAGATTTAATTCTCAATGTAAATTAATCAATATTTGGTCAAGAAAAAAAATAAAATGATTACAGTCTGATAAATCTGAAAGACCTAATATTTGAGTAGTGCAGAGCATCCAAATCATTTCTCCCCCCCCCCCCCTCCAAGGGAAGGAGGGGGGTTAATGCTTGAAAATATTTATCCCTGCTTCAGGAGTAAAATGTAACCTGTATCAAGGAGTCCCCTATCCATAAAACCTCCGGCTCCGCGTCCCGAGCATCCTGCAGGAATCGACGATGCTGAAAATATTTTTAAAAAACGTTAAAATCTATAAAAAAAGTGTATGTTTGATGAAATGTGAAATTCATGGTGAGATTCTTTTTCCATGACATTTTCTTAAACATACAATTTTTAAAAGAACAATTGATTTAACATAATTAGACTTTCTTTTTTTAGTTTGCGTCCTGTAAAAGATTACCATAGACATCCACTTGTCATCACCCTGTACATCCTCAGGAACTATAGGCACAGTACTCATATTTCCTCTGTACGGTGTATACACACTTGTATCTATGTACACTGTACAGTGTACACTTATCTCGAGTTTCTGAAATTATTATCAGATTTTTAAAGTTGTCTATATATACGTACTTTGCTTGTCTATTAACTTTTTGTCTGTCCTCTTGTTTCCAATAAACCCAATCGGGCCCCAGGAAGGGTTTATAGATTATAGTTTATAAAATTACAAAAAAATGTGTTGGAAAAGTTTTAAATGATTGAAAAATTCAACAAAAAAAATATTATTATATCAGAACTTTTTTGTTCTTGTTTTAAATAGTACAAAAGGAACATGATCACAGATAAAGTATTAAAAGTCGAGATGAAAAACGCTTAGTTTACAAATGTTTGTGTATCGCATATTTGTTTATTATTTTACGTTTTGATTGTGAATATGCTATAACCGGCTAATATTTACCGTTTTAGTAACATTTACTGTAAGTTCACTATAAAGATTATCACAAAACGCGTCTTTTCTATTTCCAAACAAGATATTTCATAAAACAACGAGAAGTGTATCTATTTCAAATAATCTAATATTAATCTACGTGTATAGTGGAGACAGACCATTAAGAGCTAGTTCTTTAAACCAGCTGATCCATACTCTCTAGGCAGAGCTATGTAGTGGGGGGGGCAGGTAGAAGAGATCAATACTTTAAACTATATTGGACAAAATTAGGTTGACACGACATGGACATTCAAATTAAATACCTCGAGGCTAACTATTGAGACAAAATAATTTTCAAATTCAATAATTTTATCTTAAAATAAATTATGTCGTATTTAAAGTAAAGTAATTTTTTCAACAGAGTACGCGCTGGTTAATATTCTTTGACAATCTACAGAACATGAAACCAACAAGAATATACAATCCTAGGTTCCAATAAATTTATGGAACAAAATTCACACAGCAGAGCAAAACCATACTATCGACTAATTAGCTCCAAATTCCAACTATTCAACCATTTTCTCTGAAAACATGGGATGATTGCTATACATTGCATATAAATAAAAAGAATGATTTTTACACCCCAAACTAAATTTATTTAATCACACATAATTATTATATTGAACAATTAAAACAATAACACTGGTTCCAGATTTTAATTAGGTAACAAATAGGAACTGTGTTCTATTAGAGGGACACTTTCGACCGAGAATGGAGAAAAAAAGATCGGGAAAATGCAGGAAAAAAGGAACAGAAAATGCGGGAAAAAAGGAACAGAAATGCGGGAAAAAAGGAACAGAAATGCGGGAAATTATGAACAGAGAGATGGCAGGAAAACAATGGAGGGTTACAAAAACATAAATATGTCTCCATTGTATTGCAATTAACAAATAAAAATATGAGACAAAAACTGAAATCTCAAAAAAAAAAATAAAACTGATACCAAAATGATATGGCAAAATAACAATTATTTTTATAATAAAACAGAAGATGAAAAATCCACTTGTACAAATTAGGATTATTTAGATATTGACAGCGAATGTAAAAATGTTTTAAAATATCTACTATAGCTTGATATTGACAAAATATATAGATCACAATCAGTTGTAAAAGTTACAGTTTCTTAGCCGTAAAATATTCTTTCCATATAGTTCATTGATTCTTTTGTGCAATACGTTGTACAGTTTTAACGATATACAACATGTACATACGATGTTCATCAACAAAAATACATAATATAATCCAAAGTGTGTCTGTGTGATGTTGATGGTTTAACAAATAGTTTAGAAATGCGCGGTTCAGGTCTCGTCTTCTCCCATTTCAACCCTAAGCCTGAAAATAATATAAAAATTAAAATGTATCTTTATATTTTTATTATTAATTAAGGACAATAATTTGTTTTGAAAGAAATTCTAAAAAACAGTTGTTAAATAAACCAAATGTTAACAAATATGAGTTACTACACAGTGATAACCAGAATACAATAGAAAAGACGATGCTAGAACAACAATAAAAATAGATTTACTTGTAGCTTATTAATTCAATAAGTAAGTGAAATGTATGTTTACACTCACAATTGACACAATTGTCTTCCGTTCATTGGACTATTAAAAGTAATATCTTCCGTCTAAAAGCAGTCTGTCCAGTCGTCTGGTTCTCACAGAACAAAAACAATGATACATATAAAACTACTACTATAAAAATATGCAGAACAAAATTGCAGAAGAAGAAATGTGTTAGTAAAAAACAGTGCAGGTGCATAACAAATCTGTTTTGAAGACAAGGAATAACAGGAGAGGGGCATGTTTCCTAGTCAACATGCTTTAAATCGGGAATATATTATTTTTTTGAGTGGAAAGCCAGTGGTATAATCTCAAAAAATAAATTGTCTTCCCCCTTGTTAAAATATATTTATTTTCGCTGAAAACCATCAAGAATGAGTTGCCTTTTGATTTTAATTTTTCTTCCCCCTCCCCCCCCCAAAATCACAAAACAGGGGGGGGGGGGTTATTCTAAAAAAACCAGATGGAAAAAATATAATGATAACTCAAAAGATTTCATATAATTATTACCACATATGTTATTACTTAATTTCAACGTGTAACCTTCTACGTTTCACAATAAAATTTAGCTTCAAGCACATTTGTTTAATATTAATAAAATGAAATTTTGTGGGCTGCCATCTGATCACCTTCACAAATGCAGATAACAATAATTTGAATAACCCAGGCGAAGGGAAAAATATGTCCATACGTTCTTAGGCTGTATGTTTATAACTAAACCTAGTTACTGTATACAACATGTTGACTCTTCTCTAAATTTTTAGGATTGCTGAATGCAGAAAATAATAATTTGAGGTCATTAACCCAGAAGAAGGAAAAAATGCCAAATGTCCATCCGTTTTATGGTTTACTGTATACACCATGTCGACTCTTTTCAATATTTTTAGGATTTAATTTATCTTAATATTCAGGGGACAACTAAGGAGGCAACCTGATCTTACAAACAGTTTGAGTGGATAAATGCTATTGTACTAGTCATCATAGCTAAGATGGTAGAAAATACAAAAGACTTACAGTTGATGAACTATGAAACAATACATTTCACATTTACATTGTTTAACATTGTACTAGGCATGCTGTAATAAGATTTTATCAGGACCAAAATAAATATTCCTATTCATTTGTCATATTTCCTAATTTATAAGTCTATTAAATAAGTGGAAGTTGTGTAAATTTGGGTCCTTTCCACATTCAGAAATTACATATGTGCAAAATGAGTCAACTAACTCTATTTCATGCAGTGGTTTTAATTTAACCCTGAAGGGTCAATTTGAGCAGTATAGTTCTGATAAATTTTCACACATAATAAAAAAATTCTTAGTAGTTTTGATTTTTTGTTATCGTACAATTTTGGCTATGACATAAGATGTTATCGTGCATGCAATTTAAATGAAGCCATCCGATGCCTAACATGCATAGTTATAAAACTGGACTAAGCGTACACAGCGCTTGTCCCTAGAAATCTCCCAACACGTGAATTCACAACCAGCACGACACGTGAACAAGGAGGACCAAAAACACGTGTTCACAAACCCGAGACACATGTTCACAAACCTGAGATTTACTTTCAGTCTTCGAGTTCTTAAATAGTCCTAGCAGCTGGAGTAAAAATAGAATAAGATGGGAGAACAATATGAAGGGGTNGTTGAAAAGAAAAAAGGATGAGAATGGAAGATCAAGGAGAAGAAAAAAGCAACTCGAAGAAACAAAGAAAAGAAAAAGGAAGATAAAAGTGAAAATGTTCATAAACAGAAAATTATATGGTAAAACAATTGGGGTACGTAGATACACTAATTAAAAAAAGAAAAGATGGAAGAGAATGGAATATCAACAAGGAAGATAAAATGAACAAAAAGGAGAAACTAAGAATAAGAAAGAAAAACGAGAAAATATATAAATTTAAGAATGATAAAAAGAAAAAACGAAGAATGAGGAAAAGAGGGAATCTAAGAATAAGAAAAAAAATCAAGAATGAGAAACAAACTAGGTTGATAGGATGAAAACTGGAGGAAAAAAAATAGATTTAAGGAAGTAATTAGGATTGAGAAAGAAACCAATAAAATAAAAAAGGGACGAAGAAACTAAAAATAAGAAAGTAATGAGGATGAGGCCGAATTCAGAATAAGAAAAAAAAAAGGAAAAAGACTGGTTAGAAAAACTAGAAATTAGAAAGAAACTGAATAAGTAATAGATGTGGAGGAGAAACTAAGATTTAGGAAGAAAGTAGTCAAAAATAACTAAGAAAAACTAAGTGATAAGGAAGAAAGGATGAACAAGATGAAAAAAAGAGGATTCGATGAAACTAAGGTTAAAGGCATGGTAGAAACTGAAGATTAGAAAGAACTTGAAGTGTTAGACTGTCTGATAAGAAAAAGGGCGTTACTTAATAAGGACAAGATAAAGGGAAGCAATCAAAATAAGGAACAATGGCCAAAGATAATAACAGAGGGGCAACTCCCTTGTTGAAGCTATACCTTGCTCGCTTTGGACTTTTTCTTTTTGTTAGGAGTGTCCACAGAACTGTCATGAGAGGTTAAAGAGGCCGAATCTGCAGGGGGGGAGGAGAGAGAACCCTCTCCATCCAGAGGTTCCAGAGGCTCCAGAGGTTCCAGGGGTTCTAGTTCCAGTTGCTGAGAAACCATGGAACCCTTGGTTCCCTGACCCTAAGGTTAGTTTCTAGTATACCACAAGGGTTGGAAATTTGAACTGTAAATTCAGAACATTTGGCATCTTGGATACTTTAAAGGTAGACATACAGTCCAATTACCTTACAAGTACCTACTGTATCTCTCCTTCAAACAAAACTAGCAGAAAAAAACAGCAAACTATTTTTTTAATGTTCTTCACTCTTCAGTTTCAGATTGTAAAAGTGTGAAAGCTCTGAGTTCTATGGGCGTACGCCCCCCCCCTTAACTTGTATAGGGAGGGGGGACTGCCCCTCTTGCCCACCCTGTATACGCCCTTGGGGAGGGGGGTCCATAACCTAAAACGAAGGGGGAGGGGGAGTGGAGTAATTATTAACCTTCACCAAAAGTGTAGGGGATAATCAAAAAATTTATCCTACCTCAACAGAACCATTTGATACTATCTCCTCATTCTAGAAAATAAATAAATTTAAGGACTGAAAACTGAAGAAAAAAAAACAAGAAAAAATATTAGTAAAAAATTGTTTTGTTTGTGTCATGTGCACAAAAAAATGTATAAAAAATCTTGGTATAAAATGTAACTTACGTTTATCTGATTATTTATCTGTTTTTGGCCAGCATTAAGAAGCTCCTGTAGCTCTGTACACTTCTTGGCCAGCATCTCCTTGTTCTTCTTCTCCTCGTTGTAGTTCTCCTTCACTCCTTCTAGTTCCTAGAACATGGAGAGGGTTATAAGGGACTGAACGCTTAATTCCAATAACGAAAATATCATCCATCTTGACTAGTGGAAGGTAAGAAGGGAACTTTTGTGAATCGGTGGTCATGGCCCTCTTTGAATGGAGGTCATTTGAAATTTTCTTTTCTATCACTTTAAGTAAACCTGGAAGACATTAACGAAAGAAAAAATAAAGAAATATCATCCTTGTCAATATATGATGGCAAGAAATATCATCCTATCCCCCCCCCCCCTTCCCCCTAACCCAATCCTTGTGATATTTACGACTACATTTCTTAGGTTCCCTCTATTGCTAGACAGAGATATATTATAAATAGGAAGAAAGAAGATTTAAAATCCAAAAAAAAGTTAAAACTTTGCAAAAATGAGGATTACAAATTTTAAATCCCAGACTAAATCTTCTAAAATTATGTCCACAATGAAATTCTACAAAATATAAATCCTTACGGCTGCAATAATCTACGAATATTTTATTTTATCTCACCTTCAGGAGTTGAGCTGTGGAGTCTAACTGTCCTTGTAGATCTGAATTCTTAGATTTAAGCTCTTCTATCAACTCCTTATACTTTTCCCCCTCCCTGAACATTTGTTTAATGATTAAATTTTTTTTTTTTTTTTTGAGAATATTCAAAGGCCGGACAAGTCAAGTCAACACAATTAAAATATAAACTTTAAAGTGGAAAGTATTTTCTTAAAATATATCTCAATTTTATTTGTTGAGCTTTGAACCCCGAAAGTCGATATTATTTATAGATTTCAAATTTAAGCGGATTTTTTGAAAAAAATGGTGCATTTTCAAAAGTTATAAACTCCCGACATTTTTTTCCAGGCAAAATGTGTCAACTTGAACCATCCATAAACCTGTCTTTACGTTTATTAAATAATATTAATATCGATTACGAGGTGAAAATCTTACCGCTCAACTGTTTCAAGTTTCTTCTTCCAATCTCCCTCTGCGGATTCAACACTTGCCTGAAGTAAAGTAAGTATTTATTTTCTTACAATATATAATACAGTGAAACCCTTAATAACGAATACATCAAAAGAATTTATCAAATGTCGTCTTGACAATTTTTCAATGAGTTTTATACTATATTACGTAAATTTCAGTATTTGCGAAAATAAATAATAGCCCTTGAATATGTGGGAACAGTTTTAAAGAGTTCCATATAATCATTTAATTAAAAAACTAAATATCTGCAACATTCCATTATCAGAAAGTGAAGATGACGACATTTGATAAAACAGAGGCCGAATTTTAAGAATTTAAGCTGCGGCTCAAATATCGTTGGTTCCACTTTAAATTTTATTCAATTTTTCAAGATTAAAGCCGGCGCTCAATCGAAACCTGTTTTTGGGGGATTTGAGACGCGGCCTAAATTCATTAAATTCGGACAGAGGACTCCTTCCACCTAACCGGCCCTAACAACAAGTTACAAAATTTGAATTAAACAATAAAAATAACTTACATTTTGTCGAAGTCCAGACTGAGTTTGTTATATTTAATCTCCCAAACATCTTCCTCCTTCAACTTAACAGAGATTCAATAATCAGTATATATATATAATTTTGTTTATTTGATATCTTGGGGAAATAAATAAATCCTTCAGAAGAAAGAAGGAAAAAGTAACAGATCAACAATCAAATTTTCATTTCAATCTTCTTTTTCATTTTTTTTATCTTAACCCCCCGTTTCAACTGTTAAATGCGATATTGGGAAAACCCGGGAAATTTAAATCTAAAACCTCGCAGCTGCCTATATTGAGGGCACTTAAAAAATTACAAATGAAGGTGCAGATAAGGCAGATAACATAATATTTGATGACTACAACTAAGAACTAAACTAAAACATGTGTTCATAAATTTGAAGAAATAAAAACCAACCTTATGATTGTTAACCTCGACCTCGATGTGACCATTGACCTTAGAGGCCTCCTCACCCTCAGCTGCCGGCCTCTCTACACTGCTGGCAACCTTAAAGAGAATGTTCATTATTTTTTTGGGGGGGAGTGGGGTAAATTTTGACAGGAAGTAAACATGTTTGACGTAACGGCATCTCGGACAAAGATCCAAGTTTAATAATCCCACCTGTTCCGATAATCTTTCATTTTCTTCCATCAGACGTACATTCTCACCCTCCTTATCCGCCATCTTGTCCTAGAAAACAAAATTTACATCAGTCATCAGTCATCAGTCGTCAGCCGTAAGTCGTCGGTCGTCAATCGTCAATCAATCGTCAATCTTCAATCATCAATCATCAATCATCAGTCATCAATCATCAATCATCATTATTATTAGTAGCACACAATCAATCAAATTGGGGTCGACGCTCCTCGCCCCCGCAATGTTAGAAGATAAAATTAGATCATTTCTTTAAAAAAAGGGGGGGGGGTTGATTTGGAAATTTTTTTGGGGGGAAGGGGGAGCAGGGCGGCTCGATTTTCCTTATTTGGTAATCTCAACATTTATCGATAAAAACTCTTTGGAATTGTGGACTGTGTTGGGTTAAGATTGTTTAAAAAAAAAGGGAAATATTGTGGAAGAAAAAAGATAAATTATTTTTTTATGCCAAGAGTGCCACATTATAATTCTATAGGCCAATATTAAACTTTTTAATGACAGACAAAATTCAATAAACCTTCAATACGGAGAGTTCAAGCTGCAGCTGTTGTTTTGCAGCTGTGACAGCGGCGAGCTGACTGTCAAACTGCTGCTTAGCATTGTTAGCAGCTGACAGCTGGTTATCAAGCTCTAGTTTGGACCCAGATAACTGATCATCAGCCTGACAAATAAAGAATTATTTTGAGATAAATTTTTTCCTAGCACAAAAAAAAACATTCCAAATATTTTATTCCTGAAAAGATATGAAAAAACTACGTTCATTATTATCATTAATTAAGTGAAAGGGTACAGCAAGATCTAAATAGGACAATTCATTATTAAATAGTGAGATTATCTGTGCCTGCGATTAAAAAATTCAAGAAAATACGAATCAGGCCTGAGCTGCCGTTGGGCCTTATTTACGGCTTGAGCTCAAGGATTAAAGTTGCATTTAATTTTCCACAGAGGTGTAGTCCTAAAACCAGTTTAATATTTTTTCATGGCTTGAATTGGCGCGTTCCGGGTTTTGATGAATACAAGAATTAACATTGAGCCTTATTCTCCACTAAACCCAACCAAGGTCAGTTTTATTTTCTTTGGGCCTAAGCCTAAGATCTCGATGCTGTCAATCATGTGACACAAGCTGTTGTCAGAGTTGGGTCTTAGATTGGGTTTTTAAGCTGGGTTTAAGGAATTACGACCCGAGCTGAAGTTTTTAAATCGCGGCCTCTGAGCTTGCATCTTTTAAATGGTCAAATTTCGGAATATTACTAATGATAGATTGGTCAATGAAAAAAAGATGGAATACAACTCGCTATGTACCCATTAATAATACATTAAAAAACCCCTAAAAATTTTGAGATTTCTTAATATTTCCACCTGCTTTAATTTTTCTTTTTCTTCCACAGCTTTTTTCAGCTCTTCAGTCAAATCTTGTGCCCTGGTTTCCAGCTGTTGCTTAGCAGCTGTCAGCTGTTGGTTGGAAGCTGCTAACTTGTCAAAATCAGCAGTTTTACTTGCTAGCTTCTGTTCTAAGCTGCTATTAGCCTGAGTTAGAGCATCCCTAAACAATTAACTTTTATCAATGTTTAACTCCAAACAAAACAAATTCAAAAATAAAAATAAAGTAAATGTTATCCATGAGTTAACCTTAAAAATTGTGGCAGACAAAAATGTTAAAACTCTCTTAATAAAACATGGAACAAATATAATGTTTAAGATAACAGAAAGTGACGTCTTGCAGTGATTGGACGTCTCAATTTTTTATATCGAAGTAGTTTTCACGGCATTTATGAATAACTTGCAGTTCCATATATAATATATTCTAATCATTATTTATACAAAAGGTATAATATAATTATTGTAATGAAATACAAAAACACGATTTTGAATGCTAGCCTGCTATCCAACATACACAATTTACATCGCTGCAATCAGTGTAAAGTAATTTTACTGTTAAAAGTTCAATTTCTAAAAAATAAAACAAATAACTCAATTTTAAACAATGTTAGACAATCTGGATTTTACGATTTATTTTTCCGACGGTACAAATTTAGAGGCCAGCTTACCTGGCTGCGGTCAGCTTTTCAAGTTCACCAGCCAACTTAGGGTCAGATCCAGTCGATGCCTGAAAAGGTAGATATTTAGAATATATGAATACAGTCATAACCAGAAATTAATTAATTTACAGTTAATCAGACAACTTAACGTACATGTCTCAAGTAGTCAAGTAGACGCAAAATAAAGGCAGACCACAATTCCGAATTGACACAACTGGGGCTATTTTGTTATAATCGTTATATTAATCATATTTGTACATTTAGATTGAAAAGTAGTCATAATTAATTATCATCTGATTCCGGGTCTTTCTGATTTTGACTGTGAAGGATTGGTAGATATATGTATCGAAAAATGCAGGTTAGATGGTCAGCCAGTTAGTTATACATTCTTTGAGATAAAAAACTTCAAAAACTAAATAACGATTAATTTTTAATTTTGACTTTGTAACTGTTTATTATTTTCTTTTTCAATTAAATAGTCAAAAATCCCCCCCCCTCACATGCCCAAATAAATGTTTAGGATTAATCTTAGAAGCTAACCTGGGACAATTGAGCTTGAAGATTGTTGATGGTAACCTGGAAAAGAAATAGATCAGTACAGAACAGTACAGTACAGTACAGTACAGTACAGTACAGTACAGTACAGTACAGTACAGAACAGTACAGTACAATACAGTACAGTACAGTACAGTACAGTACAGTACAGTACAGTACAGAACAGTACAGTACAGTACAGTACAGTACAGTACAGTACAGTACAGTACAGTACAGTACAGTACAGTACAGTACAGTACAGAACAGTACAGTACAATACAGTACAGTACAGTACAGTACAGTACAGTACAGTACAGTACAGAACAGTACAGTACAGTACAGTACAGTACAGTACAGTACAGTACAGTACAGTACAGTACAGTACAGTACAGTACAGTATGATGGTAACAAGAAAAATAGATTAGAATTTGTGGTAAGAGAAACCCAAAAAATGTCTCAATATTATTAAAAAAAAGTATGTGGAGGTTGAAAAAACGTTCAATATTTAATAAATGTCTGTTGTAATAAATGCTGGAAGCAGAATCAAATAAATCTGTATTAGGAATAAGTTTGGTTTCACGCTATTTTTAGCAGAAAATATCATAAAACCCCCAGCTGTATCCTGCATTAAGACCGAGAAAAAATGAATATGTAAAAATGTTAAATATTAAATAAATATAAATAAAAAAGAAACAAAATAATTTTTATCTAGATAAAAAAAATTTGTTTTTTAACAGTTATTACGCGCCTGATTTACAAGGGTACACTTTAACCCTTTATCTAACCAATATTGATGGATATATCACTATTATTATATCTTCAACAATAAATAAAGATTTAGTCCAGTTTTCTCGGTAACTGTAAAACGCCAGAATTTTCCCCAATTTTACTTAAAATAACAAGGGCGCAATTAACAAAAAGTCGCCAGGAACTGGTATATTGTGGATATCGAGATCAATGCTTGATCTAGATCTTAGGTTAATCTGCAGATTAATTTAATCTTTATTCGATATTCAGCAGTGTAATCGTACCCAGAAGGGAAAACTTAAATGAAGAGTTAAAACAACGATTCTCAAACTTAACGTGCCTGCAGAGGATATCAAGATCAAGCAATCAGGATTATGGGTATGTATTATACCTAGCTTAGTCCTTATAAATTTTAAGATAAAATGAATGAATGAATTAATGAATGCAAGGATGAATGAATGAATGAATGAATGTTTACCTGGTAATGGCCCTGATTAGTTTCTAACTGTTTAATTTGTGCTAAGCTTGTATTCAACTGTCCGGTTAACTAAAGTATAAGCTAGCGTCAAAAAAAATGTAACATGACGTTTTAGGATTTTGTATTCAAAATCATTAAAATATTATATACATGCTGATGCATAGGCCCATACGTCGACTATACAAATAAAACAATAATCTTTAATTTACAAAAAAAAATATTTGCAAAAATCTTATATAAAAAAAAGAATATTAGGCAACTCAAATCCGAATTAATCTGTAGTAGCGGCAGCCGTAATCAAAAACTCAAGGCGTAAGTTTTAGTGACCCTCCATGTTGTCCCCTGACCGCCGCGTAGAGTCCACGACAGATAAATCCCATGTCTTGTTGCAAACTTTACCATAAAACAAGTGTCCAGAATGACATTAAGAAATTAATTTAAAAATATCTAGCCAAAGCTATAACCTGTCTAAGAGTTCAGACTAAAAATCTATATAAAGCTATAACCAGCTGAAATCTAAAGAGTTAAGACTAAAAATCTAGATAAACCTATGACCTGTTGAAGTCTAGAGTTTAGACTAGAAATCTAGATAAACCTATAACCTGTTGAAGTCTAGAGTTAAGACTAGAAATCTAGATAAACCGATGAACTGTTGAAGTCCATAGATAAAACTAGAAATCTAGATAAAGCTATAACCTGTTGAGGTCTAGAGTTAAGACTAAAAATCTAGATAAAGCTGTAACTTGTTGAAGTCTCTAGTTATGACTAGAAATCTAGATAAACCTAGTAACCTGTTGAGGTCTAGAGTTAAGACTTGAAATCTAGATAAACCTATAACTTGTTGAAGTCTAGAGTTAAGACTAAAAATCTAGATAAACCTATAACCTGTTGAGGTCTAGAGTTTAGACTAAAAATCTAGATAAACCTATGGCCTGTTGAAGTCTAAGAGTTAAGGCTAAAAATCTAGATAAACCTATGACCTGTTGAAGTCTAAGAGTTAAGGCTAAAAATCTAGATGAACCTATGACCTATTGAAGTCTAGAGTTTAGACTAAAATCTAGATAAACCTATGGACTGTTGAAGTCTAGAGTTAAGACTTAAGATCTAGATAAACCTATGTCCTGTTAAAGTCTAGAGTTTAGAATAAAAATCTAGATAAACCTATGACCTGTTAAAGTCTACAGTTAAGACTAAAAATCTAAATAAACCTATAACCTTTTGAAGTCTAGAGTTAAGACTAGAAATCTAGATAAAACTATAACCTGTTGAAGTCTAGAGTTAAGACTAGAAATCTAGATAAACCTATAACCTGTTCAAGTCTAGAGTTAAGACTAGAAATCTAGATAAAACTATAACCTGTTGAAGTCTAGAGTTAAGACTAGAAATCTCTTGGTTCTTCTTACTATTCAACTCTTCAATCTCGCGTTTGTGACCTGCCTGTACTGCTTTTCCTTCGTTAAGCTCTCTAAGAGCAAACATTAGATTATAAACTAAATCTTTATTATTTTTTGGAAAATGACAAGTTTGACCCTAAATGAATATGTATTGCCCCTAAAATCATAAATAATCTCAGAACAAGCACTCCGAAAATATTTAATTATCAAAATTTCAATACACTTGTAATAGTAACGTAACTATAAGCTAAGTCTAAGTTTTTTCTCAAATTTTCTTATTAAAAGAGTGTTTTGACGTCAAACATCTAGTTTTGGGGGATTTTTATCAGACATATTTCGACCCAAATGTCATTCATTTTTCCAAGTTCAGCAATTAAGAAATATTTGTGTATCTTACAAATTTCTATACTTACTTTCGGAGTAGGCTGAGTTTTTTCTCCAGACTTCCAGATTTCGACTTCTCTTCCTCCAGTTCGGTTTGGAGCTCGGACAATTGCCTAAAATAAAGATTAAAATCAAATGTAAGAATAGTTTATTTTTAGTTCAGTATACGTTCAAGCAGCGCTTAGGATTCGGATCCGGATCCGTTGGATCCGCAAGATTTTGGCTTCCTGGATCCGGATCCGGATCCGCAAAAATATGCGGATTCACGGATCCGGATCCAAGGGGTAAAGTATCAATCAAAAACTGCAAAAAAATCCTTTTTTACTCCAGAAACTAAAATCTTAACTTTTGAACAAAGAGACATTATAAAAATTTCCTCATTTCTGAATGGTTCATCAAGTTTAAGGATAAAAATATGCGAAAAAATAAAAAATGAAATTTGAAAATTATTTTTTGTTAAAAAGATTCAGTAAATATTATAGAAATGACCTGGATCCGGATCCGGATCAATTTTTTCCAGTGCAGATCCAGGATTCGGATCCGCATCAAAATTAAATGGATTCTAAGCACTGCGTTCAAGTAGAGGGGGGGGGGCTGTATACATCTATTCTAGATTTTATATTAAAAGAGATCACTATAAATAGATTTAGTGCATCGATTTTGCAAATATCTATTATTTGAAATAGGAAAACATCTTTAAATCTCTAATACGTCAATGCAATGCCAATATTAGAATTTTCTTAAAGATGAATATTAAATAGAATTATCATTTTAAAATATATCTTCACAATATAATCAATTGTAATAAATGCCCTATTCAATACTTTTAGATCCAGGTACAACTCAATCTCGAACTCAAGGTTCCTCAATAATACCTTAGTCAATATCAATCCGGATACGACTCTATCTGTATTCTCAAGGATCTGTCTTACAAGATACAATTCACTGTAATTTCTAGGTTATATCTATCAAGATGTTACTCAGGCCGAAAGAATTGAATATATATTAGAGTTCAAAATGTAGAAATCATGGAAATGTTCACAAATTATATGCAGTAGAGTACATTAATACAGTATGTTCCCTAGACTATCCATTTCAATTTCGAATTTTTTAAAACTGTTAAATAAACTTTATAAAATGAATAAGGTGAAAAAAAAAACATTATTTGATTTTAGTTGTAACGGAAAATCATCGTTTGTTAAGTGAAAGGCATAGAGTCTATGTGAAATCATCATTGGTCAATTATGAAACCAGCCTATTTCATAACTTGGTTGTCTTTCAATATTAATTTTAGATTTTCTATAAAATGATATTCCAGGGCCCAAAAGGTTAAATAGCACAAATATGTGAAGTACACCTGCAGTATGGAAACAGTACAACAAAATGGCCGTTTTACACTTTTTCTAGTAAATTCCCCTCTAATATATATTCTATTCTCTTTGGACTCAGGTCCCCTCTAGTTCGCTATACGAGGGACAATTATTCTAATACCGTAATCAAGCTGAGTTTTATTCCAGCTTATGTATATTTTGAGTTCTACAGGTTAGATTAATCAACGTAATTGCAAGTTTAAGGTAGTTATTTACAAGTGTAGTTAATTAAGCTTAATTGAATAAAAGTTTTAATTAGAAGCATAGTTAAATAATAACGAGCGCAGTTAGGTAACAGATCATGGACAACATAATATATATATATATATATATACACTATACAGGTATGTTCAGGTTTAGAGATATAGGGTTTACTACGATTTTAACTACGCTATTAATTAATCATATTTCATATTGGTTTCAATTATTCAGGGACCGTCAAAAATTTTAGATTTTATATTTTAATAATTAAGTTCTTTTAATTCACCTACATATTAGATGAAAAAAATTTTTAATAAAAATTCCCAATATTGAAAATTATCAATTTACAGCAAGAAAATAACAAGAATATCTCAAACAGAGGATAAAACGGGTAGTGTTTTGAATCTAGCATACAACTAAAGAAAAATAATTACTCAAAATTATGTCGTCAGTCCCATTAAGATCAATGATCTGTCCTGAAACCTCAACTATCCTCCTCTCCTTAAGTTTACTCTCATTGATATCCTCCTCTCCTTAATTTTACTCTCATTGATACATATTGAAATCCTTGCCTGGAAACACGACTGATGTCGACTTCTTATCTATTGTTCTGGTCTAATCTAATAAAAATACCCAAACACTACGGTGCAGGAATGTGACCTTCCTAATATGGACATTGTTCAGACAAATTATTTACGGTGAACATATTTTATCTAACGACCGGTCCCAAAGATCTGGATTCGTTGGATCCGCAACATTTTGGCTTCATGGATCTGGATAAAAATGCAGAGCCACGGATCCGGATCCAAGGGTAAAATTTAAAAAACCTGTAATTATTTTTGCTCTCTGAACCGAAATCTGTACTGTTGAAAAAAAGAAAGATTAACCATAGAGAGATAAGAAGATATTTGTTAATCATGAAAATCAGCAAAAAAAACAGGAGAAAAAATTATAAATTCCTTTGTTGTTAAAACAAAACAGTAAATCTTATAGAAATGTTCAGGACTTGGATCCGGATCCGGATTCATTTTCTTAGTGCGGATCCAGTATCTGCATCAAAATCGAATGGTTTCTTGTCACTGCTAACATATGGGAGATGGGAAAGTGCCAAAATTGGGGAAAGGGTAGGATTTTTAGTCTTCTAACTAAAATTCAGTTGCTTCAATAGACTAAAATATTTAAATATCGTGAAGAGATGTGAAAAAAATACTTTGAAAAAAGAATTTGTTATCCCGGTGACATGCCTTGGAGCGGACTCTTGCCTGCAGCGGTCTCTGGTTCTACGCTTCTTCAAATATAAAAAATATTTTGGATTTATGAATCGGAATTGGTTCATTCCTAATATCGGATTTCAAGTTTCAATTGCAGCTTAGTTACTCTTCTTAAATATTCAACACAACCCTCTGTTTATTAGTAATTACCTGGCTTGCTTCTTTGATTCATTTTCTTTCCCTGGTTCAATCCAATCCTCGCCATTCTCCTCCTTGCCAGTCTGAACCAATCAAACCAATAATTTGTTGCAAAATAAATCAGTTTTTAATCAATCAATCAATTAAATATTAAATTAAGTAGAGATCTGGAAGGGAACACAAAGTGAAACCCTCGGTCAATCAATCAATCAATCGTCTTTTATCAAATAATCAATAATTTTATACGAAATCCGTCCATTCAAACAAAAGTTCATCAATCCAGTATCCAGTCATTTATCTATTTTTTACAATTACCAGCGGCGTAAATTTTCTTGGAAAATCATTTACTCCAAATCAAAATCGAGCCATCAATCTTTTATTCAAACCAAATATGAATTAATTAATCCAATATAATGTCGGACATGTTAAAAGTTAGATTCAATAAAGTATGTATTGTACAACTGCAAGCTTATTTAAAATAAAGAAAAATAATCCATAAATGAATGCTTGTATAAAAACCTGTTTAAGAAGAAGAATGTCCACAACAGATTGTGCTTCAGTATCCGACAGAGGAGATTTCCTTCAACAATACACATTAATTTCTAGGACATAATAGACATTGGTTTCCTACGACATTCGACATTGATTCTTACAACAATAGACATTGATTCCTACAACAATAGAACTTGGATTTCTTCAAAAATAAACATTTATTTCCTACAACAATAGGCATCAATTTTCCACAATTACATACATCGATATCCTACAGAAATTGATTTTAAGACATAATAGACATGGGTTTTCTACAACATTAGACAATGATTTCCTACAATAGACATTGATTTCCAACTATAGAACTCCTTCAACAATAAACATTGATTTTTAAGACATAATTGACATTGGTTTCCCCAATGGACATTGACTTCTAAAAAATAATAGACATTGGTTCCAAGACACAATAGACATTGGTAACAGTGCCTTGTTAAAATGACTGTAAATATCAAGTCAAGTTTCATTATTAGAGTAGCATTTCCGATGCACAAGGGTACTTTTAAGAGTTATGTTTGATCAAGATATCAAAGCTTGTAAATAAAAACTGGTAATTTCAAATCGTGTGTTTATATATAACAAACGGAAGGGAAAGGACTTACGCGTGACAAAAAATTTTTTTTAAATAAATAAAAAATTTTGGAAAAAAATTAGATTTTTTTGGCCTGAAACTCCAACCGGCCACCCATGAATGTTCACAAAACAATTCAGCCCAATCAGTCCAGCCATTTTGTCGGCAATCAGTGACATATATAGGAATGTCTTGTTTTATTATATAGATCGTGACTAGAAGATTTCTGCAACAAGATACAGTTGAGGAAGTTGATAGAATATAACCCTTTTCATGCAAGAACAATATTCTAAATCATTCATTCTACATCAATCATTATAGATCAAATTACAGCTTAAATCAAGCATACAATTAATATATGCGACTTTTTACCTTCTTAAATCCACCCCCTCCCATCCAAAATACTTCACATATAATTGGTCAACAAAGATACTTCAATTACGTTAAAACCCTTGAGAAATTATTATAAAAGTACAAAGTTCTAATTGCGTTTTCATCTTGCTCTTCTAAACATAGTTTTGCACTGACGGGGATTATTTCTTTCATCTTGATTGGTTTGAATTTATTACGTGCAGAGAGGGATATTTCTTGACCAAGGTGAGAGTTCTTAACAATTTGTGAAAACGACGAAGTATTCAAATCATTCCCATGTTAATTGCTAACTAATATTGGTGAAACCTCGGGGGCAAACATTTTCTAGAATCACTACTCCCTTATATGCTGAACTTTTAAGGAAAATTAATCTGTCCCCTCTCCCTCAACTCGAGGATGAAAAATAAACTCATGAATTTTTCACCTGATAACTTCTAGGATATCTTCATAGTGACTCTTTGTCTTCTTGATCTTCTCCTTCCCGGATTTCTTCTTCTTCTTCTGCAACAATCAGTGTGTCAAGAAAACAACATTTCTGGACCCTGGATCCGGATCCACTAGTATACGGAAGTTCAAGGATCCGGGTCTAATAATATTAGAATCCATAAATCCGGATCCACTAATGTAAGGCAATTCCACGGATTTGAATCCACTGATAAAAGGTAATTCCACGGATCCGGATCAGGATCCACTAATTAAGGAAGTTCCAAGGATCCGGATCCAACAGTATAAGGTAATTCCACGAATCTGGATCCACTAATATATGACATTTACGGATCGAACGGAGCCACTAAAATACAGCATTCCACGGATCCGGATCGACTATTATAAGGCAGTTCCAACCAAGGATCCGGATCCAATAATATAAGTCAGATCCAAAGATCCGGATCCGATTCAAAATTGAGTAGGAAAATCATTTATAAATTCAAACCTTAATCTCATGGAGAGATTGAAAAACCTCTTTTGGTGTAATAGCGCGCAAACTTATATTTAACAAAAAAAAAAAAAAACGAGAATATTTTCAAAAAAAATTAACTCTAAAAGTTCCGGCAACAATTGAAGCAAAAATGAGTAAAACTCTAAAACATTTTTTTGGGTGGGTCCGTAAGGGACTGATCCAAGATCCGGAATCATCAAAATGGAATGGATTGGAATGGAATGGAATGGTCCTTCTATAGTCTATTATGGTATGGCACGAATAATTGCGAAAAAAAGACTAATTGTTTTAAGTAAAATATATAACTAAAATTTTGAAGATTTTAAAATAAGATTTTGATAGGAATCAATTAATTAAAAAATAAAGGATTAAAAAAACAATTGAATACTTGGCACTGCCACAAGATTTTAACATATGTATATATATAAATGAATATTCGTGTTTTTTTATCATTATTACACAATTTTCTGTACCTTTATTGTTTCAATAAAAAGTTTGAAAGAGAGAGATTTTAACAAAATGAATTTTCAACCATTTTTTTGCGTAATAGTTTGTAGTTTGATATTGATAAGATGGCGTGACAGAGATCTCGGATTTAAATGTCAGACCACACGTTCCCGTATACTACACAATGTGTAAAAGGGTACTGTGAAAATGGCAAAAAAAATTAAGAAATTAGTTTTTGTAAGAGGCATTATCTTGTGTAAAATTTGAAATTAAAAACACACTTAGTGAAATAAAAATATGATAAAAGTTAAAGATTCACAAACTCATTTCCTCAAAAAATTCCGAATAACGCGAAAACCCATTGAAAACCCATTGAAAACCCATTGAAAACCCATTGAAAACTCATTGAAAACCCATTGAAAACCCATTGAAAACTCATCATTGAAAACTCATTGAAAACTCATTGAAAACCCATTGAAAACTCATTGAAAACTCATTGAAAACTCATTGAAAACTCGCTTATCGGAAACTCATTCTTAAATATCTAAAATCTCAATAATAATATGCGACAAAAAAATGTTATAACATTGTTTGCCAATGAAGTAATCTTGTCAACTTAACATTTTTAGAATGTAAAAATCAAATAAACAGCTTTTTAAAAAATAAGTTTACATAAAAGTTTATCTTGTTAACTTTACTTTTTGTAGAGTACATATTGCATGACGGGATGGAATTATATTAGCATTTAGGTTTAATCCTATATGTATCTCGTGTCAATAGAATATGAATAATTGAGAGAACAAAAGTTTTATTTTAGTTTAAGGTCTGAATAAAACAATAACTCTGACATGTATTTGTTCAATGCTGAACTATATTCATATTATTAAAGGTTATTATTAACTATTTATAACAATGTTATTTTGGTTAGCAGTGTTATAGTTTTTGGACCGAAATTTTCTCTTTATCGAGAAGATTTTATTTTGTCCTGAGCTTTAGCGAGGGACAAAATATAATCTAAAAGGCGAGAACCTTCGAGTAAATTAGCCGAGACTCGAGATTATTGACTTTATCTGAGTAAACACTTGATCTGAAACTTTTGTTTGTCTTAGCAGTCTGTCAAGTCATGCTTCTTACCAACATGTCTAGGATTTCAGGGCAGATAAGAAGGGGGAGGGGCAGGCGGGATGTGGATTGTATGAGATTTTAGCAGACATGAGAATGGGTTTGAGAGGAGGTAGGTCGAATGGGTGGGGAGGAGGAAGGACGGTAAGGAGGAAATACGGATGAGAAAGAACAGACGAGAGAAGAATGGACGGAGGGAAGGAGTACGGAGGTGAGAAGATGGAAGGACGGAGGAGAGAAGATGGAAGGACAGAGGTGAGAAGATGGAAGGATGGGGCAGAGAAGATGGATAGACGGAGGTGAGAAGATGGAAGGACGGAGGAGAGAAGATGGAAAGATGGAGCAGAGAAGATGGAAGGACGGAGGTAAGAAGATGGAAAGATGGAGCAGAGAAGATGGAAGGACGGAGGTGAGAAGATGGAAGGACGGAGGAGAGAAGATGGAAGGACGGAGGAGAGAAGATGGAAGGACAGAGGAAAGAAGATGGACTTGCACAGATTAGGAAGAACGGATGATAGAAGAAAGAGAACGGTCGACGCAGGTAGGTCACGCATAGCAACACCGAAGAGTCTAGGCCCTGTAACGTTACACTATCTAATAAATCACGTCAACTTATCAGAAAACTTTGAAAGAACTTACAATTTTCTTCCTCTCAAGATTAGGAGCAGCAGCTTTTGGTTGAACGGGAGCAGAAGCAGCTTCCTTAGAAGCAGGGGTGGCTTCCTTGGGAGCAGGGACAGCTTCCTTAGGAGCAGGTGCAGCTTCCTTAGGTGCAGAAGCAGCTTCGACAACTACAAAAGCAGCCTCAACAACCGGAGCAGCTGTATGAACAATCTTTTCCTCAACAACAGGCACAACATCAACAACATTAACAGCTTCAGGCTTTACGTCAACCTTCTTCTCTTCCCTCTTCTCCTCTCTCTTCTTCTCCTTCTTCTTAGGCTTAATCACCTCCTAAAAAACAATCATTTGAAGTGTCAACAAATTCTTGGCAAATTTGAAACATGCACCTAATTATAAAATCTGTTCTTGCTTGAATTCTAATCAGATCTTTAATTTCTTTAAAATCTGCTTTTGCTTTAAATCTATCTTTGTCCTTTCAACCTACTTACAGGGTGTCCCACGGAGCATGACAGTTGGCGATTACTTTTGATTGCCTATATACATTAGGGGGGAGTGAATTTAAAAATGTCATCACAGAACTACGGCGATGGTCAATTCTTATGTAAAAAAAAAACAATTCTAAGAACAATTTCTGTCATGACACTTTTAGATTGGAGGTCGTCTTTGTTAGCTAACTGGCACTGCAAGTTTTGACCTCTATGTCTCTTTTTAGGAGATCTGTGATTTCGGAATTCACAAGAAAAATGCTTCCAATAATTACGGCGATAATTCATTTCTATGTAAAAAACAGTTCTAAGAACAAATAGTTTTGTGCCAGTTTTTGATTGGAGGTCGTCTTCTTTAGCTAATGGGCACTGTAAGTTTTGACCTAAATATACAAATTATCTTATTTTTGGAAATTCACTCCCCCTAATATACATATACTGTTAGATATTAAAGACTGTTTTCAGTTTCTCGTTAAAATATCTTTTATTCCAATATATTTTACTTTAAAATCAATTTTACTTTTGTATGACCGCCATATTATTTTTATTATTCTCTTAGACATTATTCAACTGAATTTATTGTTTAACTATTGACCAGCTGCCATGTTTTAATGATCTCTTTAAAAGTAGAATTGCCCGCTGAATCAAGTTAAATCACAATAACAAAGATAGTAACACGACTCAATTTTCCTGAGCAGGGCCCACACATTAACAATATTTGTTTCGTTAATTTGTATCAATTTATAATAAGACAAAGCACAATATGATCAAATTGAATCCCTCTCTAATTAAATGATTTGATGATCTAGGAGAAAACATTAAAAAATGAACATCAAAGACAAGTTTCTCGTACTTTTCGACTCTTGATATCCAAAATTTGATGTATTTCCTCCAGTGCTTAGGATCCGGATCCGTTGAATCCACAAAATTTTGGCTTCCTGGATCCGGATCCGCAAAAATATGCGGATCCACGGATCCGGATCCAATGGTTAAAATATCAACCAAAAACTGCAAAAACACAATTTTTTACTCCTAAAACCCAAATCTGAACTTTTGAAAAAAGTTAGATTATAAAAATTTCCTCATTTCTGAATGGTTCGTCAAATTTAAGGATAAAACTAAGTGAAAAAAAATTGAAAATTATTTTTGGTTAGAAAAATTCAGTAAATCTCAAAGAAAGAAATGACGTAGATCAGGATCCATTTTAATCCAGTGCGGATCCTACGTAATGATGGGTGGGGTACAAGAAAATGTGCACCCCGGCCTTGATTCCTGGCGTTTAATATCACTTACCTTGATAGGTTCAGGAACAGGTTCTACATAAACAGGTTCAACAATCTCCCCAGCCTCGCCAGTGATTTCCTCGTCCTCCTTTCATTATTTTAAGCGTTAAAGTGAACCTCCATGCAAAGATGTAAATGCCCGATTAACAACGCTACCCTTGAACCTTTATCTGATTAATAATATGAAAGATATTGTCGTTTTTCTAGGTTTATAAGCGTTAAAAACTATAATTCTTTTGGTTTTCCTGCCGGCACCAGAAATGGGTTAGTGACTTTAATAGAGAAACAAAAAATTAATTTTCAAAGATATACTTGATCAGACAAAGAAGGTATTATTGTGCACTTGCTTTGTCATCTTTGCATGGATGGTATTTGTAGTGTGAGAACTCACTACAAATTGGTGATTTTTAATGTGCTTTGTCTGTTTCCAATTACTCTTCACGATTAATAACAATTATTTTTAGTCGACTTTCTGGTTATTGATAATATATCAATATATATATATATATTAGTTCGCATAAGATTTTATTAAAATCGTTCACGCAGGGTTATTTAATAAAACAATAACAGAAGGGTTTTTGTCTAACTTAATATGGATATATG